CCCTACTGCCCCCTGTTGGAGGGGACAAGCCCTGCGCTCTGTGTGTGTGTGTGTGTCTCGGCGGCCCCCTGTTGGAGGGGATGAGACCTGCCGTGTGTGTTTGTGTGTATGTGTCCCTACTGCCCCCTGTTGGAGGGGATCAGACCTGCTGCGTGTGTGTGTATGTCCCTACTGCCCCCTGCTGGAGGGGACAAGCCCTGCGCAATGTGTGTGTGTGTGTGTTTGTGTGTGTCCCTACTGCCCGCTGTTGGAGGGGATCAGACCTGTTGGGTGTGTGTGTCCCTACTGCCCCCTGCTGGCTGGATCAGATTCTGCAGGCTGCGATCAGAGCGTGGGGGCCTGGTCTAGGCTAAGTGCTACGGCTATGCAGCATGGGACGGGGGAAGAGGGGGTCACTCTTCATATCCAGGGACGGGGTCTGCGCCTTGGGGAGACCTGCACAGAGAGCAAACGGGAAGGGATTATGTATGGACAATGAGCAACACTGCCCCACCCAAGGGAGAATCCAGGAGTCCTGGCTCCCAGCCCCCCTGCTCTAACCCCCTCGACCTCACTCTCCCCCCAGAGCAGGGGATAGAACCCAGGTGTCCTGGCTCCCAATCTTGGTCTCTATGTAATGTGGATGACTGCCACAGTGGGAATTCGGACCCACAGAACTCATAGGAGATGGCACCCCCTAGAGGGGAAATCCCCATGCCCCATTCCCCACCTCCTTAAGCCAGCCAGTCCCATCCCCCTCCCCCAGGGCCCGATGAGAGCCAGCGCCCAGTCTTTAATCTGGAGTGAAAGAGGTGCCGGGGCTCAAGCCATTTTTTAACACTCATAACTAATGCAGCCAGCCTGGAGGTGCCGGGGCTCTCAACGGCCCAGCCCGGAGGTGCCGGGGCTCAGCCCTGGCACAAATTGAGCACTACTAGGGCTCCCTTGGGGGAAAGGGCCCCATGTCCCATCCATTCCCCCTGCCCCACTCACCAGCCTCTGGGCCCGCCTATCTCATCCGGGTGGACAAACCTGTAGAGAAGAGTCAAGGAGTCAGGTGCCTGGGGGGGATCTGGGGTCAGATCCTAGACAGACCAGCCCTGCTGGGGGGAAGATCCCAGCATCCTGGCCACCCCCTCCCCAGCGGGTGTCACACAGGGGC